ACTCCAGCCTGGACAACAAGAGTGAAACTCTGTTTCAAAAAAGAAAAATTAAATTAAATTAAAAGCCACCAAAACAGATTTATTTTTTTGAGGGGGCTTGTACATATTAAAAATAGAGGACATTCCAAAGACTACTATAATAGTTCACTGTTGCACTCCAGGAATTCACTCCAAATTTTATACGCCTTGTAGGGTATACTGTAACCAGGGTACACTGTAACGCACAGCATGTAGCCCTATAGAGCGTGAAATCTAATATGAATATGTAACCTAATGACTGCAAATCAGGAAACAAAACAACACACATCAGCACAGGGAGGAGGTTAAAGGAATAAAAGAATCCTGTTCAGACACTGATACGCAGGGTCATTGTAAAACACCCCAAGACACTGGGTAATATCATTCTTCTCCATTTTATCCTCAATCTAGACAACAAAAGAAAATAATTTCCTTCCTTTCCAGTTTTTTATAATCTCTCAACAAGTTCACAGGTCTAATTCTTTCTTTCTTTTTTGGAGACAGAGTCTCACTCTGTTGCCCAGGCTGGAGTGCAGTGGCACAATCACAGCTCACTGCAGCCTCAAATGCTTGGGATCAAGCAAGTCTCCCACCTCAGCCTCCCAAGAGTACTGGGACTACAGGCACATGCAACCACACACATTTAATTTTTTTTTTTTTTTTTTTTAAGATGGGGTCTCACTCTATCGCCCAGGCTGGAGTACAGTGGCACAATCTTGGCTCACTGCAACCTCTACCTCCTGGGTTCAAGCAATTCTCCTGCCTCAGCCTCCTCAGTAGCTGGGATTACAGGTCTGCGCCACCATGCCTGGACAATTTTTGTATTTTTAGTAGAGACGGGGTTTCACTGTATTGGCTAGGCTTACACATATTTAATTTTGATTCTTTGTATACATGAGCAATAAACTGTGTGAGGAAGAATTCATTGCAGAGGCAGGGCACAGTGGCTCATGCCAGTAATCAAAGCACTTTGGGAGGCCAAGGCAGGTAGGTCAAACAGCTTAAGCCCAGAAGTTTGAGACCAGCCTTGGCAATATAGAGAGACCTTGTCTCTACAAAAAATTTAAGACATCCTGTCGCAAATAAATACATACATACATATATAAATACATAAATAAGTCTAATAAAAACTGAATTAAAGATAAATGATAATTCACTCCTGGATATGAAGATAGTTGCAATTTTCCTATTTCAAAGTACAGACTTCCTCAGTATTAAAAATGTCAGCTGGGGCTGGAAGTGGTGACTCATGCCTGTAATCCCAGCACTTTGGGAGGCCGAGGCAGGTGGATCGACTGAGATCAGGAGTTCAAGACCAGCCTGACCAACATAGTGAAGCCCCATCTCTACTAACTATACAAAAAATTAGCTGGGCATGGTGGCAGGTGCCTATAATCCCAGCTATTCGGGAGGCTGAGGCAGGAGAATCGCTTGAACCTGGGAGGCGGAGTTTGCAGCGAGCTGAGATCACGCCATTGCACTCCAGCCTAGGCAACAAGAGTGAGACTCCGTCTCAAAAAAAAATTTTTTTGGCTGGGCAGTAAGGTCCCACGCAGTAATCCTAGCACTTTGGGAGGCCAAGGCAGGAGGATCACTTGAAGTCATGAGTTGAAGACCAGCCTGGGGAACAAGTGAGACCTACTCTCTATTTTTTTTTTTAAATAAAAAATAAGAAACCAGCCTGGTCAAACATAATGAAACCCTGCCTTTACCAAAAATACAAAAATTAGCTGGGCACAGTGGTGCATGCCTGTAATCCCAGATACATAGGAGGCTGACACAGGAGAATTGCTTGAACCCAGGAGGCAGACGATACCATGAGCTGAGACCGCGCCACTGCACTCCAGCCTGGGCAATAGAGCAAGACCATCTCAAAAAAAGAAAAAAAAGAAGAGAGAGAGAAAAAAAGAAAAGAAAAAATATTGACAAGAAAATGAGTTACAATTAATATACTACATAAATATCCATTCAGGATTGTAAGAATGACACTTTTAAAATGCAGTTGGAAAAATAACTGATTGTTATTCACCCTGTTAAACATCTTTCTATAAAATGATATTATAAAAATCAAGCACAGTGGCCACGCGTGGTGACTCATGCCTTTAATCCCAGTACTTAGGGAGGACAAGGCGGGCAGATCACCTGAGGTTGGGAATTCGAGACCAGCCTGGTAAACACAGTGAAATCACATCTCTAGTAAAAATACAAAAATTAACCAGACATGGTGGCACACGCCTGTAATCCCAGCTAGTCAGGAGGCTGAGGCAGGAGAATAGCTTGAACCCAGGAGGCAGAGGTTGCAGTAAGCTGAGACTGAGCCAGCCTGGGCAACAGAACAAGACTCCATCTCAGAAAGAAAGAAAAAAACTAACACAAATAATGTTTTGGCCGGGAGCAGTGGCGTATGCCTATAATTTCAATACTTTGGGAGGCCAAGACAGGCAGATTATTTGAGGTTAGGGGTTCGAGGCCAGCCAACATGGCGAAACCCTGTCTCTACTGAAAATACAAAAATTAGCCAGTCATGGTGGTGGGTACCTGTAATCCCAGCTACTCGTGAGGCTGAGGCATGAGAATGGCTTGAACCCTGGAGGAGGAGGTTTCAGTGAGCCAAGATCATGCCACAGTACTCCAGCCTCTGGGCAACAAAGCAAGACTTTGTCTCAAAAAAATAGTAATAATAATAAGCTGGGTGTGGTGGCTTACACCTGTAATCCCAGCACTTTGAGAGGCTGAGATGGGCAGATCATGAGGTCACGAGTTCCGGACCAGCCTGGCCAATATGGTGAAACCCCGTACCTACTAAAAAATACAAAAATTAGCCGGGCATGGTGGCGCACACCTGTAGTCCCAGCCACTCAGGAGGCTGAGGCAGGAGAATCGCTTGAACCCAGGAGGCAGAGGTTGCAGTGAGCAGAGATCACACCACTGCACTCCAGCCTGGGCAACAGACTGAAACTCCATCTCAAAATAATAATAATAATAATTAATGTTTTGATCCTTGCATATGATTATTGACCACATTTCTGTTTACTTCCTTAGAATAATCTCCTAAAACTGGAACCGCAAGGTCAAATAATAGATACTTTTTGAGACTTTTACGCATATTGCCAAAATGCCCTCCAAAAGACTAAACAATTCTTATTCTCACCAATGACAAGTTATTAAAGTGTCCATGTTAATTGAATGGCTGGTTTTAAAGGAACAACTAAGGTCTTGTTTTTTTTTTTTTTTTAGATGAAGTCTCGCTCTTGTCCCCCAGGCTGGAATGCAATGGCTCAATCTCGGCTCACTGCAACCTCCACCTCCCGAATTCAAGCAATTCTCCTGCCTCAGTCTCCCGATTAACTAGGATTACAGGTGCCTGCCACCATGCCCGGCCTAAAGTCTTCATTTTTTTATTTTTAACAAAGCAAGCGGCCGGGCACAGTGGCTCACACCTGTAATCCCAGCACTTTGGGAGGCCGAGGCGGGCAGATCACCTGAGGTTGGGAGTTCGAGATCAGTCTGACCAACATAGGGAAACCCTGTCTCTACTAAAAATACAAAAATTAGCTGGGCGTGGTGGTGCACGCCTGTAAATCCCAGCTACTTGGGAGGCTGAGGCAGGAGAAGCACTGCAACCCAGGAGGTGGAGGTTGTGGTGAGCCAAGATGGTGCCATTGCACTCTAGCCTGGGCCACAAGAGCGAAACTCCGTCTCCAAAAAAACAAGAAGAAGAGGAAAAAAAAAAAAGCAAGCACTGGATTCTTCTTGCACAAAGATTTCTAGAATGCTTTTTTAAATTAAGTGTTAAAAAGGAGTAATTATTTCAGTTTTACATTTTTAAATCTCATCTCCTATCTCTTATTGCATTTAAAAAATCGGACTGAAGCCAGGCGCAGTGGGTCACGCCTGTAATCCCAGTACTTTGGGAGGCCACGGCAGGTAGATCACCTGAGGTCAGGAGTTAGAGACCAGCCTGACCAACATGAAGAAACCCTGTCTCTACTAAAAATACAAAATGAGCCGGGCATGGTGGCACATGCCTGTAATCCCAGCTAGTAAGGAGACTGAGGCAGGAGAATCACTTGAACCTGGGAGGCAGAGGTTGCAGTGAGCTGAGGTCACGCCATTGCACTCCAGCCTGGGCAACAAGAGCAAAACTCCGTCTCAAAAAATAAATAAATAAATAAATAAATAAATAATAAAAAATCAGACTGAGTTGTTATGTGTGCCTGCGAACAATGTGACTAATCCCAATAAACACGTAACATTTACTTCAATTATTCCAAGATTTGGGCTAGGAAAATATCAGCATCCTAAAATGATAATATATATAACCACTACTGCAAATGAAAGGATTATAATGGATAAGAAAAATATTCTTTGGAAAATTTGCCCCCTTTCCTTTTTTTTTTAATTGCCCCCTTTCAAGTTCCTGAATCTACAGAGAAAAAACAAAGAGCAAATTTGCCCGTTTGAAATGCTTGTTTCCTGGTGCCATAAAGAAACAGTACTTGAACATATATTTAAAGTACTTAGCAAGGTCATTTTTATTTTTCGCAGAAAGGGTACCCTCGCCAGCAGTTTTGCCATGAGAGTACACCGAACAAAGGAGAAACAGGGTCATTTATAACCTGACTTGTCCACCCTACTGTTGTGTCCTGTTTCCATTGGCTGGAATGGGACCTCACATCCTATATTTGTCCCGATTGGCTAGCAATTTAGAACTTTTTAAAAGAGGCAAAGGAGAACAAAGGAAGGAGAAATTAACGTGTGGAATCCTGTGAAAGGTCAAAAAACACCTTTAAATAAGGAAGAGGAACAGGCTGTGACTAATGCTTGCAAAACACCTTCAAATAAGGAAGAGGAACAGGCTATGACCTAATGCTTGCTTGGAGCAGAATAAGCATGCCAGGGCAAATATTTACACTAAATTGTGGGAGCTAAGAAAATAAAGTACTTTGATTTTTTTTTATCATGGCTAGCAGATATTTAAGAACGTTAGCACAAGTCTTTGAATACATTTTGCTTTTTAAAAGAAGTTAGTATTTATTCCTAATTAAATGGGGGAAAAGTCTTTAAAGAGGAACCTCTACTTTACTTTTTGCATCCCCAAACTTAAATTCCCTTTTTTGCCCACTTTCCACAGTATTTTCATTCATTTTTATCTTCAGCATCTATTAACTCACCAAAATGCTTGTAATGGCGATTGTGAGCTTGTAATAAAACCTTTACTCGATCCAATGGAGCAACTGTTGTTTTGGCACAGCATCCAGCAATACCTAAAAATTTTTCAAAAGGTCAGGAAGAAATTGTGTACCATTTCTTTCCAGATAGAAATCATTAGTTGTTCAGCCAGCAAACCCTCTAATCTCTAATTTAGTCTCCATGAGTAAATCTGCCTACAGCATGGACATGCAGATGCCTGGTCCCCATTCCCTGTAACTTAATAAGTGAGCATGATTACACTACTTTAGTAAGTTTTATTGTGTAAATCAGCATCTAATACCTGAGGAACACTGGGAATCTTGCTAAAATGTGATTATGGAGACAGACACTTGAAGGTATTTATCCAACTGCCAGGTCCTGTTTGAAGTAACCTCCTCTTCTTCTGGAAGATTTTTATGGAGACAGACACTTGAAGGTATTTATCCGATTGCCAGGTTCTGTTTGAAGTAACCTCCTCTTCTTCTGGATCATTTTTTCATTGAAACAACCAACTTTTACCCATAAAATTAGTCATTCATTTATACATTCAGCAAATATGTATTTTGACCCTACCATGTGCCACTGGGAAAAAGTATAGATGAAAGTAGAATAAAGTGCATACATGGGCTTTAGCATAGGTCAGAGTCCAGGCCAGCCCCTCGAGCTTGGCATGCTTCTAAATCAACTATATAGACTTCTCTACAATATTGTACATCTAGTAATGACTTGATAAAATGGGTGGCTCCTCTTATAAAAAGGTGAAAAATAAGCCAGGCACAGTAGCTCACACCTGTAATTCCAGCACTTTGGGAGGTCGAGGTGGAAAAATTACTTGAGACTAGGAGTTTGAGACCAGCCTGGAAAACACAGTGAGACCTCATCTCTATAAAAAAAATGTTAAAAATCGGCCGGGCGCAGTGGTTCATGCCTGTAATCCCAGCACTTTGGCAGGTTGGGGCGGGCAGATCTCCTGGGGTCAGGAGCTCGATACCAGCCTGGCCAACATGGTAAAATCCCGTCTCTATTAAATATACAAAAAAAATTAGCGAGGCAGGGTGGCAGGCACCCGTAGTCTCAGCTATTTGGGAGGTTAAGGCAGGAGAATCCCTTGAACCCAGGAGGCCGAGGTTGCAGTGCCCCGAGATCACGCCATTGCACTCCAGTCTGGGCAACAAAGTGAGACTGTCTCGAAGAAGAAAAAAAAAAATTAGCGAGACATGGTGGTATGCCTCAATACTCAGAGGCTAAGGCTGGAGGATCACTTGAGCCCACAGTTGGAAGTCGCAGAGAGCTATAATTGCGCGGCTTCGCTCCAGCTTGGGTAACAGAGCAAGACCCAGTCTTTAAAAAACAACAAGTCCAGGCATGGTGGCTCATGCCTGTAATCCAGCAATTTGGGAGGCCAAGGCAGGCAGATCACTTGAGGTCAGGAATTCGAAACCAGCCTGGCCGACATGGTGAAACCCCATCTCTACTAAAAATACAAAAATTAGCCAGGCATGGTGGCGGCTGCCTGTAATCCCAACTACTCGGGAGGCTGAGGCAGGAGAATCTCTTGAACCCAGGAGGCGGAGGTTGCAGTGAGCTGAGATCACGCCATTGCACTCCAGCCTGGGTTACAGAGACTATAGCTTAAAAAAAGGAAAAAAACAAAAAAACAAAAAACCACACACACACACACAAATAAAATTTTAACTTTAAAAATCCACATTCTGAGATATCCAAAAATAAATTGTGGCTGGGAGCGGTGGCTCACGCCTGTAATTGCAGCAGTTTGGAAGGCTGAGGCGGGCAGATCACGAGGTCTGGAGTTCAAGACCAGCCTGGCCAACATGGTAAAACCCCATCTCTACTAAAAACACAAAAATTAGCCGGGCACGGTGGTGCATGCCCGTAATCCCAGCTACTTGCGAGACTGAGGCAGGAGAATTGCGTGAACCCACGAGGCAGAGGTAACAGTGAGCTGAGATCACACCACTGCACTCCAGCCTGAGCGACAGAGTGGGTCTCTGTCTAAAAAAACAAACAAAATAAATAAATAAATAAATAAAATGTATATTTATACTCAAATATTATATCTACTATGTTTCCATATCAAAGCTCTCTTATCCGAACTAATGAAAATAATAGTTGGCCAGGCGCAGTGACTCATACCTGTAATCCCAGCACTTTGGGAGGCCGAGGTGGGCGGATCACCTGAAGTCAGGAGTTCGAGACCAGCCCGACCAACATGGAGAAACCCTGTCTCTACTAAAAATACAAAATTAGCCCGGCGTGGTGGCGCATTCCTGTAATCCCTGCTACTCGGAAGGGTGAGGCAGGATAATCACTTGAACCTGGGAGGCAGAGGTTGTGGTGAGCCGAGATCACGCCATTGCACTCCAGCCTGGGCAACAAGAGCGAAACTCCGTCTCAAAAAACAAAAAAAGGCTGGGTGCAGTGGCTCATGCCTGTAATCCCAGCACTTTGGGAGGCTGAGGCAGGTGGATCACAAGGTCAGAAGTTCAAGACCAGCCTGGCCATAATGGTGAAACCTTGTCTCTACTAAAAATACAAAAATTAGCCAGGTGTGGTGGTGGGTACCTGTAATCCCAGCTACTCAGGAGACTGAGGCAGAAAATTGCTTGAACTCAAGAGGCAGAGGTCTCAGTGAGCTCAGATTGCGCCACTGCACTCCAGCCTGGGTGACAGAGTGAGACTCCGTCTCAAAAAAAAAGAGTAAATCATAATAATGGCTATCCAAAATTATGGATAAACTAAAAATAATATGCATTTGGTTTTAGAATATTGTATATTATCTTCTCAGTTGTGTACGAATTAACTGTATAATGAATTATTTAGGCCAGGTGCAGTGGCTCACGCCTGTACTCCCAGCACTTTGGGAGGCCGAGGCAGGCAGATCACCTGAGGTCAGGAGTTCAAGACCAGCCTAGCCAACATGGTGAAACCCCATCTCTACTAAAAATACAAAAATTAGCTGGGTGTGGTGGCACATGCTTATAATCTCAGATACTTGGAAAGCTGGGGCAGGAGAATCGCTTGAACCCGGGAGGCATAGGTCACAGTGAGCCGAGATCACACCACTGCACTCCAGCCTAGGTGACAAGAATGAAACTCCGTCTCAAAAAAAAAAAAAAGAGAGAGAGAAATTGTTTAGAATGTATTCAATAAGTAGTTTTATTTAATAGTATCTTTTTTTTTTTTTTTTCCAGGCTGGAGTGCAATGGCATGATCTCGGATCACTACCACCTCCGCCTCCCAGGTTCAAGTGATTCTCCTGCCCCAGCCTCCTGAGTAGGTGGGATTACAGGAACCCGCTGCCATGCCCAGCTAATTTTTTTTTTTTTTTGTACCTTTAGTAGAGACGAGGTTTCACCATGTTGGCCAGGCTGTTCGTGAACTCCTGACCTCGTGATCTGCCCGCCTCGGCCTCCCAAAGTACTGGGATTACAGGCATGAGCCACCACACCCAGCCTATTTAATAGTGTCTTACCTTGCTTTCACACTACAGTAGTCCCCCCTTATCTGCAATTTCACTTTCTGCAGTTTCAGTTACCACCAGTCATCCATGTTCAAAAAATATTAGATAGACAATCTGTAATAAGCAATTCACCTGGGCACAATGGCTCACGCCTATAATCCCAGCATTTTGGGAGGCCTAGGTGGGAGGATCACTTGAGGTAAGGATTTCAAGACCAGCCTGGCCAACTTGGCGAAACCCTGTCTCTACTAAAAATAGAAAAATTAGGCTGGGCGCAGTGGCCCACACCTGTAATTCCAGCACTTTGGGAGTCCGAGACAGGCAGATTACCTGAGGTCGGAAGTTCAAAAACACCATCTCTACTAAACAATACAATAAATTCGCTTTGGGCGTGGTTGGCGAATGCCCGTGTAGTCCCAGCTACTCGGGGCTGAGGTAGGAGAATTCGCCTTGAATCCGGGAGGCCCAGAGGCTTGCAGTTATTCAAGGATCGCACAATTGCACTCCGCAGCCTGGGGTGACAAGAGC